GGGTTATCATCCAAGGTCAACAACACTGATTGAGAAGCATTAATGGGCAATAGGCAATATAAGATAGCTTCCTATTCTCTTTGATTTTTACTCTGGGCATACATGCAGATGATACACATACATCTCCATACCTCCATTTGGTTGTGTATGTGCAGAACGAGAGCACTCTCAACATCAGAGAACTGAAGCCCGGTTCAATAGTCATTACTTTTCTTAGAGAAATTGGAGAATGGTAGTCTTATGAACTGAAAATGTGAGATTTTAAACAAAGCACTCTTAGCATCCTTGTAAGGTTGTAACTCCCAGAATTCTTTGAAAGATGCCATGACAGCAAAGCTCTGTATAATCCAAGTTAAGTTTAGAGTGTGAATAGGTCCTGATGATGTTAATTCAATATTATGTGGGCAAATGTATGAGTCATCAGCCTAGGCTTTGCATAGATGTATTGAACTGTGTGTAAATGCATGGGCTATACACCTCTGGTTATTGCCCCAAGTCTGAGTAGTGATTATGGAACAATGACTGGGATAATTAATGTTATCCAGACATTAATGCACTATAAACCCAAGCCAGTAATGTGTTAAGAGCCATGGCTTCTCCTAAGGAGCTCCAAGAAGTTGAATTTGGCTGTTTTAGACTCTCTTTTGCTATGTTTGATCTATAATTCTCAGCAGTATTTTACACGGTTGCAAGCCATGAAAGAAGAACCATCAGTGCGCTGATGATCTTACCTAGTTGGGTAATGAAATGTCTGCAAGTGAACAGCCAAGCTCAGAGAGCACCAAGAAGTTGTTATTAAGAGGCCTCTTGCAGGCAATGGTACTAAACACATAGGGCAGATTCTTAGAAGGAGCTAAATTGACTCAGTTTGAATGTGACAGAAGATAGATATGTTCTTAGTCCGATGAAACATGTCTTGCTTCTCTGATATATCTTCTGGGAAGTATATTCTTTGAAATGAATTGGACTGAAGTGGCTGCATAGTATCTAACTGGATCCCATCAACTCATCTTTTTAAAAAGATATTCTGGCCATTCTTTTTTATCTTCAAGGCAAGATGGAATATGCAGGAGAGAAAATATGTTGTACCTCTCTTTGGAACCTGGAATAATTTGAGAGTGTATGAAATGAATATGGATAACATTTCAGTCCTTATAAAGTCTCCTCAAGAATTTCATAGAAGCTGAGAATAGATGTGTACAGCAATGATGAAAATTGTTCACCTGACACCCTGAAGGTTAAACAGTTTTATTGAAGTGATAATCTACTACTCCTGAAAGCCACTGCTACAATAACATTGTTTGATCATATCCAAATCAGATATTTAAGCAAGTTAAATATTTAGCAGGGAATTTGTAATCCTCTAAAAGGGGAAGCATACAATCTTCACCAAACTATAATACATTTGGGGAAGCCATCCTTCTAAATCACCATAAATGTAACTAACATGAATTTACAATTATCTTCACTTTAAATTATGATATGATTTTAAAGGCGTAAAGATGAGATTTTGTTTGGCAAAAAAAATGAACATGGATATTTCTCTAGGATGAAGAAGAATGGATAATGGGGTATGTTTAGGTGTGTTTCATGTGAGGGGTGAACAGATAATAGGATGAGTGGGACAAAACAGAGGATCCAATACATTAATACAAACTTGAATTTTGTTCTTTTGACTCGCCAACCCCCTCCCCAACAATTAATAATTTAACATTTAAGAATTCTAAACATTTTTGGCACATCAATTCTACGTGAAGGAAGAAAATACCATGGGATATTAAGCAGACATTTGCATCTCTAGAAGAAAAACATTAATTGTCCCAGTTAACTATCCTCCTAGACATATTTAATTTTTCCCCGCCCAATTTTTTTTTTTGAATAATGAAAGAAATTCTTTCTTTTTAAAAAGGTTGCCATTTCTGGAAATTGAATGATTGGAACATGATTTATTTTGGACGATTCTGTATCACCTACATTGAATAAGGAAGTAAAATGTACATTCAAGTTTCAAGGCATTAAAATAGAGCTTTCTGTATTAAAGCTTCTGATAGGGGATGAAACATAGGTAAGTATTATTTAAATTGTATATTTTCAGGGAGTAAAAGTTAATAGTTTCATTTTTTTTCTTGAATTAGAAAAACTATAAAACATTTTTGTCCTCTTGACCTGGTTTAATATTTTTGCTCATTGTGAGCAGAAGATATAATTTCATTTGGGAGAAAAACACTGCGAAAATCACAAAGAAAACTTTCTCATATACCGTATGTATATGTATGTATGTATATATATATATATATATATATATATATATATATATATATATATATATATATATATATATATATAGGCAAAGGAAGACCACTCTGTGTTTTCACCACCTGCATCCTTCATGGTTCTCCCCCCTTGACTGCCCCCCATGGGAAATCCTTTTGCCTCTGTGACAGGGTTTTGTTTTTTTTAATATTTCTCTGGCAATTGGACGGGGGGGGGGGAGAGGGATTTATGAAAAAATAGCATCAATTTCCATTTTTTAAAATTATAATCACTATAATACATCTGTTTTGAAAAAATAGTTCTGTGTCCCTCCCCCATCGTCCCTGAGCCCACCCCTCATCAACAACTTTTGGCACCAACATTTGCCAAACTTAAGCCTCACCACCCTACCAGCAATGGGGCAAAAATCACATTTCCATTCCCCACCCACCCAAACCCAATCTTTCCTGAGTCAAAAATCACCCGTCTTTCCTCTACCTTTTTCCCACCCTTGCTCCTAATTTAATACAACACTGGGGAGAAGCATTGTTGGAAAGACATTGCTAGAATGCAACAAATTTTTTCTAAACATATCCTCTGTTCTTCCTTCTCCTATTAAGACTTCACATTGTCCCTAAACATTGCAAGAGCAGGGCATTCATCACTTAATGTTTACCTCCTACTATCCGCTTTGTGGGAATGCATCTAAAGGCAGGCATCTAGCAAAGGTGAGGAGGAGATTGTCTTGCAGACACAGCCAGCCGTCACTTCCACAGACACACAAATGCAGGGGTTTCCTCCCCCCCCCCATGTAGCAGGGAATTGACAGAGCTAAAGAAAACAGCCAGACTTTTACACGTACAGATTCTGATTGTGACTTTAATTTACTACAGTACTGGGCAAAATGTTACCCATCAGGTAGAATGAAAGCTAGGGCTAATCTGGCAACAAAGAGTTGGAATTTAGCAAAATCCTTCTATTCTCAGATGGCATATACATCTAAGACATTCGTAAAGATTGATTTGTATAGAAAATTTAGTCATTTATGGCCAGCTCTTGCGCCCTAGAAGGCTTGATTTTACCTTTCATGTTATCAGATAGCTGAAGCCCCTTTTCACTGGCAGCACATTCAAGCACACAATAAACAATAGACTTCTGTTCTGCCTCAACACCAACAGATTTTGGACTGGGTTTGAAATGGCTAGAAATGCATGGATTTAGAGGTATTGAGCCATAAAGTGCTAGCTGGAAAATGCAGACCTATAGAAGATTCAAATATGCATGGACAGATCCATTAGTACCCACCTTGCACTATAACCCCATTTAACAGCTGCAATGCCATCTGAACGCTACAGCTGAATGAAAGATTGTGCAAGAGGACCATGAGTTAAAGGACATCTCTTGGTTTGAACATTATCCCTGGTGAAAAGCAAAAGAAGTTCAAGTGGAAAAAATAAATTTTGGATTGGACTGGTTCCTCTCAAAGTTTTCGATTGGAGGAAATATCATTCAAAGATCTAGGCTTCAACCATTAGGCTGTTTGCAGACTGACTATTCTGATGATTTTTGAGAACAAAAATGGACAAAGGAATGTATACAACTCACATGAGGATTTTCCTGGAGCTGACTGCTATTTTGCCTAAGTGCTTCTCTATTTTTAAATTCGATTCTTTTTTCTCTTGCAAGATCACTGGAATAAAAAATACCTCTGAATGTGTGTAGAATGCATTTCCCTTGCAAATTTCTATTCTTGCCATCATAATTTGGAATAAGACAAATTTCTAGAAAATGATAGCTGCTTTCACTCTTGCTCAGACTTTAGCTACTTCCCCATTTATTTATCCATCTATGTAAAAAGAGGAAAAATCTGTCGCTGTCATTCTCTGTGTGTTCAGTATGACACACACTTTCTGGGTATTTATCTAAAATTGGAGCCTGGGGAGAAAAGTGACATTCTTCCAGCATTCATTTGCATATACCCAAACTTAATTATTTTAGCCCAGATTGTCCAACCTTACAATTTACAGGTTCATCATATAGGGCAGGGATGGGCAACTATTGCCCCTTTACAACCTGCGGACTTCAACTCCCAGAATTCCTGGCTGGCTCAGGAATTTTGGGAATTGAAATTCATGGTTTGTAAATGGCCCATGGTCACCCACCCGATATTCCAGTAGGTTATACTTCCCTTTTTTATAAGAAAAAGGAGAATCAGGAAATTGGCAATTCTTATTAGTGCAGGAAAGGCACTCTGTACTTACACAGAGGAATTATTTATGAGATTCTGAGGCAACAGCAACAAACTCTGATCAAAACGAAGACTTATGCATTCATAAGTGAAAGGCAGTTCACAAACATATTGTTGATATGTCAGTACTTACAAACACTTATGCAGATATCCAAGTAGAAATTAAATTGCACAGGTTGAATGATCACTCCTTTTCAAGGCACAATTAAATCCATGATTTGGACATTGTGAACTCACAGCAGTATATTTCTCTGAAGATTCACTATAACTGGAACCCCCTCCTGATTCATTCATTAGTACAGTTTTCCTCATTTCCCCCCCCCATTACATCTCTTCTCTAAACCAAAAGGATGGAGAAAATGCTTGCAAGGCTTTCTTCAAATGAATGATGACATCCTTCATATTCTTAAATATCCAACCTTCTTCATTTGTAACTGCAAATTTTTATAACAGCAATGGGTCTCTTGTATATGGAAAATGGAAAAATTAGCATGATGTGGCAAGTTTAAAAATGGTTTATTAAAACTGCTTCTGTCATTTAATTCACTGATTTTCTAAACACCTCAGAAAAAGCACTAACAAAATTCATGATTTTTTACTTTGTGCTTATATTTGAATTCAAATGTATGTTTCTATTGTAGTAGAGGGTCAGAAGTGATAACAGTATTTTACATGTGGAAAATATTACTGATATTTAACATTTCCAGATTATTTCCTTTGGAAAAGTTTCTACTTTCCCCCCATGATTTGGAATAGTTTTAAAAAAAATATCTCTCAAACCTGGCTTCATTTCTTGCAAATAGACATGATATAATTAGTTTTTTTAAATTAAGATTCTTTTTTTACTTGCCTCAGTGATAATGAATTAAGTGTCCTCATTTAAAAGACATCCAAACATTTTGAGAAGGCTCAAAATGTTTCTATTGACTTATAAGTGATCAATAACTTCTCAAGAACACAACAACAACAACAACAAAAAACCACAAGCAAGAAAATTATTCCAATGACAATATCTGAAATGGAAAAACAAGGCAATGTTTATGTTGTTAACATAATTTTTCATACAAAATGGGTATTTTTTCATCTTGTCAAGGAAGAAAATACTGCAAAGGAAGAAGGAAAAGAAATGACATAAGAGAAAGTGATATTGATGTTTAAATGGTACTATGATTCACCCATATCAATTCTACAAATATGTTATCTCAAGCTACTTATTCGGAACCAATTATTTTCTTGTAAAAGACAGATATTATGACTCTCCTGGGCCAATCCCTGTTCTGAATGCAAAGAGGACTACAGAATTCTTGGCTGCAGTAAGAACTTTGTCTTTCCTTACCAAAGTCAAGCTTATAGATTAGTTTATTTACCTGACTTGCTAGTTTTCTACAAACAATAGTTTATAATATGGGCTTGAATTCAAATACACAGATCAAGTCCACACAGGTTACTAAGCCCTAACAAATATTATTAGCTAAGATTCTCATGCATATTACTAATATAATCAGGAAAAAAATCAAGGACCTATTTTAATCTATTTCCAAAATTCCCCTGCCCTGACCATGTTATTCAAGCCAGAGAGATTAGCAATTTGCAAGCCTAGGGAATATTCTTTCCACTAACTCATCTTTTGAAATGGTACAATCCAGGAGAACTGGGTCACACAAACTGTCCTGTGCAAACTCAATCAACGTCAATCAACTCTGACAAACCAGCCAAATAAAGTTATACAAATGAAAGCAATTAAAATAAATGAAACTCTTGCTAAAGGAAGTTGCACTTCGACCGTACTAAATGGGGTGGGAAGGGGACAGACAGTATTTAAAATGCAGAAATTCTAAATCAGCCTGCCCCATCCTCTTCTGCATCCACCTTTTAAAGACAGAAGAACTCTTGGTACAAAATCTACAATTAATACAAACATGATCTGTACCTTTTGCTATTGGAATCTCTGGTTTAGAAAGTCCGCTGTCATGTCTTTTATTCTTAGTTGTTCAGAGCATCCAGATAATGAGAAGACAAAATGGTCATATTAATGGAAAAGGAAAAATAGACAATAAGCAATCCTACAAGAGTTCACTTAGAAACAATTAATGTATTTATTTTACAGTACTTACTAGATAGTACTGCATCCACCCAATCACAGGTTTTGTCAAGACCACCCCTTTCTTAAATTTAAAGCCTCAACATTCCACAATTTAACTATAATATACATACAAAATGACATATCCTTCAGAGAGATATATAGGTCAATATGACCAGGTGAACTGTCCCCATTTTGGAAGCAGATTGGTGGAATATGCACCACAAAAGGGAACTTTTTTTAAAAAAATAGTCATCTGTATTAATTCATCATTCCCATGTTTTTCCTATGCTCCCAACTGCCTTCCTGAATCTAGCCACTTTTTATATTTTTATTTGTTTATTTTGCATAGAAATCATTGCATAAAGAGCTTCCATCCTTTGAACTGTGCAAGTTTGGGGAGGGGGTGAGCTCAAACAGGCACCCACAAAAATATTTGCATAGTATGTAAGATGGGTATCTTTGACTAGATGTGGTGGGCTGCTGAAGGGTTTTTTCCCCCTCTTTTCTTTTTGTACAGAAAAGAAATCTTTAATGGAAAAGTTTCAGAGCAAATTGTCTCATCATCTCTTATCATAAAATGCAATTTTGGGTACTTTCACTAGAGTTGATTCTGTGCTACAGAATTACTTTTTACAGGAATAAACTTTTCAAACATTTCCCCCTGCAAATAAAAAACTAAGATGTGCAAAATGTAGTTGGCTAGGAATCCTGCTTTAGTTCTTTTGGGTGCTAAACCTTCTTTGTTGTTCTTTTTTTTACGGTGTTCTAAAGGGTCTAAAGTGGAATGCTAAAGATATAGTTTATAGCTTCAGTGTAACTTAGGTTTTATATGTCATTGATGGTATTTAATATTGTGAGAAAGCCTTCATTGATTTTAAGGGCAATATTCATTGCCAGAACAATTTTTGTGACATTTTTAGCCGTACTGGAAGACACACATCCTCTTTTTCTGCTAGAAGAAAAAACAGTTGGCTCCCTCAAACTCCAATTTCCCAAGTAAATAGAGGTGGTGCAGCCATATTTATCTGAATCTAGTTGCATTCTTTTGGGAACCTAATTCTAAATTCTCTGGAGCAGTGTTTCTGAACCTTGGCTGCTTGAAGATGTGTGGATTTCAGCTCAGAATTCTGGCTGGCTAGGGAATTCTGGGAGTTAAAATCCAAACATCTTCACATATGTGTGTGTGTGTATATATATATTTCTTAACAAGCATCCTAGACTACAAAAACAAGGAAGTGGATTCTTTAATTGGTTATATTAGATTCAAACCTTTTAATTAAAATGTGCTTGCTATTGGCATGACACTTTGGTGACATATAATATCACTTGCAGCCTTCAAATATAGAGGACTTTGGAACTGATTTTTGATTGATTAAATCAAATTATGATTATTAATTACTTTGAATTAATTCAGTGATATAGTTTCCTACGAAATCATGTAATTTAGGGAATGTGCAGCAGACAAATGAATATATATGGCAGGAAATATTTTTGTTATTTCATCAAAGTACTAAAATGCTTTTCATCTTTATTGTCTTTCAGGACAATATTGTTTCAATTGGCCATATAGCTCTTTCTTAATTGAGGGATTTTAATATACTATGATGGGCAATTAATTTAATTTGATTGTTTTATTATTTATTGATTCTAATTATGCTGAAATACAAATTATGCTGCGAGTTTAAAAATACAGTAATAACTATTTCTACCAAAAATCTTAACTAATCTTAACTAATCTAATTATTATGCTACATTAACTGACATATATCAAGTCTAGGAATAATAACTTATTATGGGTGAGGAACAAATTGTAGAAACTCAATGATTGTATTTAGTGTTTTCTTACTTACGTAGAAACTACAGCCTTATCTATCTAAGCTATCAAAATACACTAAAAAATATTTATTTCAATAAAATCCTGCCTGATTCAGCTGTAATGATAAAATATTTTGTGTACAATGAGATTTGCATTTCCTCATTCTGTCCTGTAAATTCTGGGAGCTCTGATCTCTTGTTTTGGAACAAACCACAATTTCCTATCACATCTAAATTGATCTGAAGGCTTTTAACGAAGTCTATCAAGAACAACTGTGATTTCCAAGTTGAGATATAATGGGGAAACATAGTTAGTTTCAAAAAGTAGATTAAAGAGGTCCTCACGTGCAGGAAGAGGAAAGGAAATCAGTGAACAAGCCTAAAGATTTTGCAACTATAAATTTGCAAAGCAAGGTGAAACAATTTTTATTCCATTTGAATCTAATGGATGTTCATCTAATTGTCACTGCATCTCATGTATATTAAATTCTTTCACTGCAGAATCAATTCCAGATATCCTTCATATCTATTGGAGACCAATTTTATTGTTATAAAAACAATGTACACACACACACACACACACACACACAAATTTAGCAACCTTGACTACATTGTAAACCCTTCCATAAATCTGACCAGTCAAAAAATATTGTCATTGGGAACAATTTAAAAAATAGACTAAGAAAAGACACTAGCTATTCTTTTCACTCATACAAACATAGCTTCATAAGCCAAAATATACTTTTATTTCCATCTGTTTACCCTAATTTAAGAACTTTTTGCCCCATAGAGACTAGAAATTCCTAGTTCAGAGAAAAAAAAGGAAGGAAGGAAGGAAGGAAGGAAGATTAAAGATTTCCACATTTGTATTATGGAATAAAAAAGGAGGGAAAAAAAGAATCTATGTGTTTGTTATCTCACTAAGCAAAGACAGTATTATTCAAATATTTTTTTTGTCTCCATTTGTTTTCTGTCCATAAATATTTCAATCTCACCTCCTTTCACTTTTAGTTTTTTTAATCATCCTTGTTTTATTCAAAGATTTGCCACTCTGATAGTGAAGACTAGCACTTTTTTTACAAGTGCAGATGTAGATTGGGCATTAGGTCAAGTATTTCAAGAAAACAAGGCCTTTTCAAGCGTCAATTGAAATAATGGCATATTAACATAGATCTAGATCATGAATTCTTTTGATCTGATGGCATGTCAGAAAGTCATGTATTGTTTTATCTCAACTGTTCACTATGTTAGTTCCTTTGATCTGTTAATATGTGGTAGCCATTAGCTAGAGAGAAAAACCAGTTTAGAGATCCATGGTCTTCTAAGCCAGTGTTTTCAGACTGGACAAACTTACTATATATGGACTTCAGTTCCCAGATTTGCTGACTAGGGAGTCAGCATTTTAAACATCTTAAAATGGTCAAGTTTAAAAATGGCCAAGTTTAAAAAAAAATGCTGGTCTAAGCTAAACAATGTTTTTTCTTCTAATACAACTAACAAAAAAGAAATGCAATTTATGTTTTAATTATTTTTACTACTGAATATTACAAATTGTACCATCACACTTTCATAGGGCGTTTGAAAAGCTATGGAAGAGAAGGAAAGGCAAATCATCAATATAATCAAATAAACAAACAAATCTATACTAGAAATGCTTCTAGAAAGTCCTTCAGATAATTTATTAGCTCTCTGACAGCTGAACACCCACCCGGCGTAATGATATGTAGCTACTGGTGCTGGTTATTTTAACCATAAGGTGATAAAGAAGGTTATTTAATGGAGATACCTATCCCTTTGCTAAGAAGCCATTCAGATACTGAAGATGGTGTGATGCATTTAGTCATGTTCACAGACTTTACATGGACCAATAACATAAAACAGTGGGATCACTGTTGACTGACTGTATTTCACAGAATAGCTTGGTTTGTGTCATTCGTTGCCTGTAGCTTGTCAATGAAAAGCCTGCCAACAAGAGGCAACAGAACAATACATGATAGTGGGACAACTATTGCTTCAGCTACTTGTGATATTTGGCCTTAGAAAGCTACATTTTTAGACTGCCTATGGAATGATCCATGTTGTTCCAGTTACAAATCTCCCCATTTAATTTACCCTCTGATAACATGCCAGATATATTTGGCTGCCAAAGTAATCAACCTGCCTGTGACATATGTTGTTGGTACAGTAAACTCCATAACTATGCCCACAGGATGGGTAGACTTAAGAAATTCTTTTAAAAAACTTCAAGAAACTAACATGCTGCTAACAGTTCCCTCTTCGGTCCTGAGCATCTTGCAAAACATGGTATTTTGCATTCCTCAAAAGTGCATTCATTGGAAAACTTGAGCTGTGCAAATCTGCAAATCTTATCACTCATTTAAAAAAAAAAAAGGTAACCAGACTGGTTGTGTATATTTTTGAACCACGTTGAGGTGCTTAATTTTTCTCCTACAATTAATTGCTAGGAAAACAGGTTTTGAATGGAAGCTGAGGCACTGAAGATTGGTAGCCTCCAATAAGATAACATCTACAAAAGGAACACGCCGCTTGGAGTATTACACCACTCTGATGAAACAGAATTCCTGTGCTAAAATATATATCAGCTAAAGGTAACGCCTTTATATACAAGGGATTGTAGTACAGCATTTCTCAATGTCTTATTCCCAGCTTGACCAAATTCCTGCCTTTTATATTCCCACCAAGCTACTTCCTCAATGTCCACATAACAAAATGCCAGCCTTGTTGCCCCCGCACTGTCTTTTCCACTGGAATTTACTACTTGAATTAGCAATGAGTATAAGCTACTCTTCCCCCTTGCATTATTTCAAATCATATGAACATTTTCTTAACAAACAAGAAGCTCTTGGATTTTGCTCTAGGACAAAGGGCTCGCTCTGCCAGCATCTTATCGCCATCCGTGATACATGCCCAGGGAAGGAAAAAGCCCTTTAGGATACATCCACCTCCTACAATGTGCGGTGCTTCTTACCCCCTTGCAGGATGGAAACAGGTCAGGGGGAAGGGGTACTTGCTAAATTTGGTGATGTTTGTTGTTGCAGGGGATTGCAAGTCCTGAAGGAAAATATATCTCTTTTTGCTTTTTTGTAGTTCTTTTTTGTCATTTTTTTTCATTTGCTTTTGCATATAACATTAAATATTGTCGCTTACAGTATTACATGCAAATACATGCTGGCTTGGAAAATGCAGATTCTAAATAGTTTAGCTCGGTGGTGCTATTCCTTATGTTTTTGTTTTTTGTCTGTATCAGCAGCATTGCTTTGAAAAAACCAGGTGTCCCATACTCAAGTGCTCAGTGACATGTCCTATATTTTCTTGTTCCAGAAGAAACATAGGGAAGACATCTTTCCCTTGCAGTTTCCAATAAATTTTCTGATCCTGCGGTTATTCTTTTTCAATTGAAAAATAGATTTCTTTTTCCTACGTTCTCTTAGTTGTTGTTCACATATCTCTTTGTTTTCCCCTCTCTTTATTTTTTGCAATCAGATCAAAAGACCATCCCATCTCAACTTTGGATGGAAACAGGAAAAAAAAAAATCACAGTGAAAGCACCCACCTCAACAAGTAGTGCTCCGTTGTCCTTTTCTGTGTGTGGAAAAAGAGACAAACAAAAGAGAAGAAAGGAGAGAGAGGCAAAAGAAGGAGGATGGTTCTCTAGCTTCTCCTTCAAACCTAGTCAGATGCTGGAGTTGCCTTCTCCCAGACCCCATCCTGGTCTCTGTGCTTACCCTCAGCTCTTTCATCTGTGGGAACTTGGTTATTCTTGGATTATCTACATCATAGGAAAGTCGTTATCATGCATCCAGGCAGAAGGGAGAGTCTGACCTTATTGCTTGTGATTGATGGAAGATCCATGCACAGAACAGAAGAACAATTCCAAGGAAAGACAGAAGACCCAAGGCAGATGAGTGGATGGCCTTCTTCAGAGGAACGGTGGAGGGTCCATGTGTTTAAAGAACCAGAACCGTTCATTAAGGAAATAAGGAAAGTTAAGAGAGAGACAGATAGAAAGACTGGAAACATGTCATTTGTGAGGGAAGTTTTAACAGAGAGATAGATTTTTCTATGGAAAAAGTTCAGAGATAGATAGGAAGGACAGAGAAACCAAACGTAGATAACAAGGTGCAGACTGAGAGACACAAAACAGAAGGAAAGGAAGGAAGGAAGGCTCTATGGCTCATTAAAGTCCTGAGTAAGATGATGAAAAGGGAAAGAGCATTAAACAGAGAGAGAAACTGCAAAGCCAGGGTCAGAGAAATACTGTGCAGTCTGGTAAGGTGGATGAAGGGAAGGATGCAGAGAATCCAGACAGGAGGGCCTTGGGCTTTTTCCTGCAATGTTTGTCCTTGACACATCTCCTCTCCTGCTTTTTGAGTGTTTGGATTTTCAGAGCAAACCATCCCTCACCCTTCCTCCCGCAGTAGATGCTTAAACTGTACTCCTGTTTCAAAGCTACAGGGATCGAAGGCTTCAGGCCTCAGAATTCTCATGGATGCTCCAGAAAGTGCAAATTTAGTGCAACACCACCTGTATGGGTGTCTCCCGCATTTCGTGTGTTCCAATGCATTTGGCAGAGAGTGTTTTCTTTGCGTTTAACTCTGCCCCCCTATTTTTTGGCATTACCTTTTCTTTTTCCTTTTCCTTCTTCTTTTTTTTAAAGAAACAAACATACAAGCTAACCCCAAGCATTCCTGGTGTGTCTCTAGAGTATGGAAGGAATGGGCGAGCGAGGACGTCGGACGGAACCAGGTGAGCCAAAGGAAGGGGGTGCTGGAGATGGAGGTAGACCAGCAATGCTGTTCAGGCTGTGGGACTTCTCATAGCCTGTGGGGAGTGCTGTCAGGAAGGAAAGAGAGAGATGAGAGAAGTGAATGAATGAACAAAACATAAGTCCGGTTAAGACTTAAAGGCATTCTGTCAGGCAAACTCAATAGCATACAGAGGGGAAAAAGCTACTTTCTGCTATGCTTCACTGATAACTTTACACTGATTCAGATCTGCTCCATTTACCCCAATGTTGGTTGCATTTAAAAATCTGTGGTTTCATAATCATGATTTCTGAAGCAGCAGCTTTTTCTCCTCCATTCCCAATTCTTCATCAGCTGCAGAGATGCTGGCTGTACGGTCCAAAAAGGGGTACTCTGATTTTATTTTGTTTTAATTAAAACAGCTTTTTACTTATATTAAGTCATACTTTGTGGAGGTTTAGAGCAGTCTTCCCACAATTTGGCACGCTTTAGAAGCTGCATTCTCAACACAATTCGAAGGTGCTTGTTGAGGAAGGCCAATTTATGGTTTGTAAAATCACCCCTGAATACCAGTGTCTATTCCCAACTTTGACACATTATAAGTGCGTGGATTTCCACCCCTGAAATTTTCAACAATGGCTGTGCAGATTGGGACCTTCTAAAACCAAACTGTGTGCTATTTCAGTAGTTCCATACTGCTATTTAGACAGATATAGGGCAATTCCTAGATCAGCAGGTCACTAGATACGCTAACCAGCTACATAAAACCGCTAAATCTGGTTGAAGATTTCCAGTGGAGTGACTTACTAAAACCAGTCAAAAGCATTAGTGCAACCATTCCAGCTTCTGTTTCATAATTTTTTCAGTGTTTTTTTTAAAGTGGATATTTACCTATAGAAAACAGGGTCATCTGGATTTCTGTTTCTTTAAAATGCTATGAATACGGCAGAATAATTGCCCTCTGAAAACATTGTCTGGAAATGCCGATTCCTTCACTTTAGACCTTAGCCTGCATCTCAAACCACCAATCATGACAAACCCATGCCATATTCTATAACAAAGCTCAACTTTGAACTGTATACTAATTGATTCAAAAAACTTTTAAGTAATAATTATTTAAATCAAAACAATATTTGTAATTATCTAGTGATCAGTGATCAGGCTGGCTGGTATGTATTGTTCCATCCGGGCTTCAAATGAATTATTGCTTCTTTCCCAGTAGTACCATAAATTAATCTCTACTCCAACCCCACAGATCTTGCAAAACACAGGTTAGCAAAGAAGGTGATGTGGGTATGAGAATCCTACTCGGCCTGGGTTGTCTGGCTGCTATCATTACGATCAAGGGGAGAACTCTGGGATAGCAAATTTGGAAATGGGCTGCCCCATGCTCTCTACCTGAATTGAAGACTATTAGCTCTGATTTTCCTGGCTGTGGTCCAGCACTTCAGAAATTAACTTTGTCTGTTTTTAAGATGTGTGGATTTCAACTTCCAGAATCCCTTGTTGGCTGGAGAATTCAGGGAGTTGACGTTCATGCATCTTGAAATGGCCAAGTTTGAAAAGGACTGCCCCACAGGCTCGCACAGCCTTGTTAGAGGGATGAGCAGCAGAGATCATCATTCCCCCTTAAAAAGGTAACGGTTCCCCTTGCATATATGTGCTAGTCGTTCCCAACTCTAGGGGGCGGTGCTCATCTCTGTTTCAAGGCTGAAGAGCCATCGCTGTCCAAAGATGTCTCTGTGGTCATGTGGCTGGCATGTCTAAACGCCAAAGGCGCACGGAACGCTGTTACCTTCCCAGCAAGATGGTCCCTATTTTTCTGCTTGCATTTTTTACATGCTTTCGAACTGCTAGGTTGGCAGAAGCTGGAACAAGTAATGGGAGCTCATCCTGTTACGCGGCACTAGGGATTTGAACCGTTGAACTACTGACCTTTTGATCGACAAGCTCTTAGCCACTGAGCCACCGCTTCCCTCATTCCCCCTTAGCTTTTCCTATTTACAAAGGACAGTCTGTTCTGAGGAAGCAGAATTTAGGAGTACAAAGTCCTCTCCTTTGTTTTATCAATCTGAGGTCCATCAAAGGCGTCCCCAGGGGGATTGTCAAAAAATCAACATGGTGGTCACAAATATGTGAATTGAAGCCCTGCCCCTTTTAAGTTTGTCTCAGCATATGTGAAAAAAAGATGGGGCTTCAATCATACAGTTCTAGCTACCATCTTGATTTTATTTCCCACCTCTGGACACCTCTGGAATGGAGTTGCTACTGTTCCAGATGGGAATGGTTCCCCCAAATAAGATCCATCTTCATCCAAAAGTAGAATGCCAGAAAAAAAGCTATTAAAAATACTCCCAGACACTGATTTTCCCTAATTCAACTGCTTTATAGTGGTTAAATTTTATAATTCTGTTTGGCATCTATATAACTCACTATACAACCCCAATCATTCCAGAATAAATAAATGCAGGGAGAAAAAAATAAAAGGCATATCCTGCATAAGAGAAGGAAAAAAATTTGCAGGTTTCCAAAAATGCAAAAAAGGCTGATAATTATAGGGATCACATCACAGATAATACAGAGGAGGAGGAATTTAATCTGAAATCCTTTTTGCTGCCAAAGCAGTTCCCACCATGACTTTCCATTCTGTCCCCTCTCTTAAAAACCTGTTTTTCCCCTTATAGAAGATCCTCACTGTCATCATTTACATGCTTGCTACACAATTCACAGCCAATTGTGCAATACAGAAAAAAAACCATGGAACCCACACTTGCTTCATACGACAATATAGCTGTCCAGGAGATGCATGGGACTAGAACATGTTATGACTTAAGTATTTTGTGTAAGTCATTACGTATTTATCTTTTATTTATAAAATTTCTTGGCTGCCCGTCTTACTATAAGGTAAACTCTCTCTCTCTCACACACACACATGGGCCTGGTGGCTCAGCAGACTGATAGCATTGTGATTAACACCAGCTGTCTGCAATTACTGTAAGTTCGAATCTCACCAGGCTCAAGGTTGACTCAGCCTTCCATCCTTTCTAAGGTAGGTAAATTGAGGACCCAGTTTGTGGGGGCAATAAGCTGACTTTGTATAAATATACAAAAGTATGAAGGCTATTGCTTAACGCATTGTAAGCCGCCCTGAGTCTCCGGAGAAGGGTGGCATATAAATCAATTTTTTTAAAAAAAACATATATATATATATATGTGAGGCAATTGCATGATTGTTCTGCTTAACAACCTCCACCCTTTTTTCTGATGTGGTCATTAAATGGAGCATGGGTTACCTCCCAGGAAGTCCTGGGAGGCCTAGTGCAAGTCCAGGCCTGCAATGCAGTACTTTCCTAGCTCACATGCAGCCTACTCTGGGCCTCTCGAGGCCTCTCCCATCTCCTACCTTGCTTGCTGTCCCATTGGGTCCCACACCTTTGTCTCCACCCACCTCCTCCCAATGGAAAGATCATTTCATTGTGCTCGTCACATTGGGAAACGGCCATGATTCATTGTAGCTGCTCTGAAAATGGGGTTGCTTCTGGGATGGAGTGAGGTGGCCTAAGGATGCTGAAAGGTGGAGAGGCCTGCTCTCCTTTCCCAATGCGAACTTTGGAGCTCTTCCAAAGGTAAGTAAGTGCACAGGTGGTTATATGACTCATTGCTTATAACTCACAATACTCTTGGTAGCATGATCTGTATTAAATGGGAGTTTATTCCAGATGGTGCATGTGAGGGTCAAACCATTGTTAAGTATATTCATAATATTAAATGTAATGCGTATAATTAATATGCTATTTGATGAAGGAATACAGTATGTGAAACATAATTTAAATATATGTTCCAGGTTAAACCTGGCTGACACATGAGTCATATAACTGAGGGGGGGGGAGTTCAAATTTTTTCAGGCTGTTAAAAAAACATTGGAATCCCTGATCAAAAGGCAAAACTCTAGGGACAAACATTGCCAATAAAATAAAGTTTGTACATATCATTTATTTATGCAACTTTATATATTCAAGTTAGTTGAGGTTTTTTCCCCCCTCTTAGTTTCTCAGGGAACCCCATCAAATTCAAACAGAATTCAGTTTGTAAAATCCTGGTATAATGTACATGTTACTGTTAATATGCATGGAATTTGTTTAATTTTTTAATATTTGTTTTATTAAAAACACTTCTATACTCCTTTCCATTAAAAGAAAATAGCGGAGAATACACAACCCACATATGCTATTCTGAGGTGTATACAGTATATTATGAAAATATAGTATTGTTGGATATTGGTCTGTCTATCCATCCATTCTATCCATCCACCTATCCAACTCCAACCTGATATTCTTGAGCTAAACTACTCATGCTGTCTGGGAATTATGAAAGTTTTAATCTTATACATCTGAAAACTACCAAATAGTAGAAGGCTGATCTAGACCAATACAAAAGAATACCAGGAGATCCATTGTTGTGCTTGTGTAGCCTATCTGCAGCACTTCAGAATACATATTGCAGACTGTTGTGAATTGGAATTGGATGATTCAAGGTATAGTACAATATACATGTAAAGTATACCATCCCATATACCAGTATGCACTTTGCAGACCTATATGGCATGGTATATGTAATGCTTTTATATGTTTGCATGCAGGTAGTAAGTCATTACATGTCATCCCAGGGACACTTTACAAAGCATGCTCCTATTATCAGATGATCATGCTTTTACATATTCAATATGTAACAGAGAGGCATTAGCTTTCTGATCAGAACATTGCACTAAATCTATTACAAACCTGGTGCAATTTCTTAGCGTGTGGAAGCCCAACTCCATCTCTCTCTTTCTCTTTCTCTCTCTCTTTCTCTCTCATAACTCAGTACAGATAGTCCTTGACTTATGACCACAACTGGGATCGGCATCTCCATTTAGGTCATTGCAGTTGTATGCCAAGCTGGACCTGATTTTAGAATTATTTTTATGACATTGTTTATTAAGCAAATTACCACTGTCATTAAACAAATCACACAGTTGTTAAATGAATCACACAGTTGTTGAGGTTATCCAGCTTCCTCAAAGGGTGTTTTTGCTGGGATTTGGCAAAAGAGCTTGCAAATCACAATCACATGACCACAGGATGCTGCAACTGGTCATAAATGGGAGTCAGTTGCCAAATCTCTGAACTGCAATCATGTTACTGCAGGGGTGGTACAAGGGTCATGTCGGTACCTCATTTCTGAATCCATCATAACTATGAACGAAAGGTTGTAAGTTGAGGACTACCTGTACTGTCATGCAAAAGAGTTATTCTGTGTCAGAGACGGCTGCGGCTAAGCCCTGCTACACACACGTGGTGTGTTCACATGACACAATGAGCAGAAACAAGATCACATTGATTTAGTCTAACAATTATGTGCCAATCTAGCTATTTGATTACTTTCTGATTCCACAACTGATATAATAAGTTAACTAGCTGGGTCATGCAAACACATCCAAATAGATCTCGTGTGATGCCCCAACTCAGTCCTGAGCAGGAGAGAGAAAATGATCCTGACTAAAGAGGACCATGTCCTAAGGCCGCCTTACTTATTCACCAGCAACCCCCAACCCCACACCAAAAGCAATAAGTGAGATTGGAGTGAAAGCAGAGCAAGGCTGACCTCCTCCAGGGAGCGCTGGAGTTCACATGCCCAGCCAGTCTCAGGCGGTAATCAGAGCTGGGAACAAAGAAAGACACAAATACCTGATCATACGGGCTGGAAATGCTAAGCAGGATAGCTTGTGCAAGCAAACATTCACTCCTTTGTGTGCAGAAGGAGAGTTTTGCATATAATCAGCATATGCTCACTCTTTTTGACACGCAGCATGGAGCAAAAGGAATAACAGCACGTGCAAAGTGTAGGTTTCCTGTGCTCATCGGTTCATTTTTACCTACACAGGAACAGTTTGCACATTCTAAGATTCGCTCACACCAAGTAAACTTTTACTTTTTACTGTACAATTCTGTAAAATTGTCCAGAATTACTTGAATGAAGCGAAACTTAAGAAGCAAGGAAACTATCCAGTTTATTTTCACGTGCAACTCTTTAAATTAAATGCAACTAAGCAGCAGATTGCACGCTTACCCTTTAGGTTCACCTGCAGCTCGACCCAGGTATGCATGCAAATGCATTGCATTGTTTCTATCCCATTAGCACTAGTTTTGAATGTGCAAATGGGAAGCTGAGCTTCCTTGGCATGCAATGATATCCAAACATTTCACCAGACACTTCATTTGACACTTACCTGTTTTGCACACACTGTTGTCTACAACCAGAATTCAACCAGGGCAAGCCACTCATTTATTTCCTTGGCCATGATTTGGGGTTTTGCATATGCTCACAACACAGGTGCTTAGGTAAACATATGCAAAACAATGGGCACATGGAAAAAAGAGAGGAGCACTGATTTGCACACATAGGAAAACTAAAAAGTGTGAATGGCAAGAATTGTACCAAGAATTTGGATGGACAACATTGTTTGAATCTGATCCAATGGAAAGCGTAAAGTGAGAACCACGGTACTGCTGGGCAATGAAACTGTGCAACCAAGGCTAGGATCCCCTAAGAATTGCATCTAATGCACAGAATCTTCATGACTTATTTTTTTCAATCCTGTGGGGCTACAAATATTGGCATAAGCAATTAAGCCATGACAAAAAGTCGAAAGGCTGCTTGATGGAATTGTTTTGGATTCTTGTCCTTCTCCACCCAATCCCTGAACTAGAGGCCGGCATGAAGCCCGAGCTTCATCCAGACATCTCTAACCAGCTGCCTGCGAAAAATGGAAAATGCCCCCATTCACCCCCAGGCGTATAAATAAGCAGGCTGAGGTGTATGGCACAAGATACGTACCTGGCTCACGCAGTCGGGGCGTTACGAGAATACAGGGTAGACCCTACAAGACGTATGAAATGGGGCATTAATTGGAATCAAATATTGATGCAGCCCACCCCTGGGAAGAACACGAGGGAAGCCCCATCTCTGCCAGGAACAAGAAGCTTTTGTCACTTGATGGACAGTGTTGAGATGTTACTCTGTGGCTCAGTCAAGCCACGGATTGTCTTGTCTGCTTTTTTACCCCTTCAACAATTCAGCTCCTCCCAATTTCACTTCAGCTCTGTTCCCATAGCCCCATGCTCCATCAATTTGGTTCCCTAATGGTGTCCATCTTCAACGTCCCTTTAAAGGGCTGTTTTTCAAACTTGTCAATTTTAAGAGGTGTGGACTTCAACTCCCAGCATGGCTGGCTGAGGAATTCTGAAAATTGAAGTATACACCTCTTAAAGTTGCCAGGTTTGAAAAATGCTGCTTTTTAAAACATTCTCTTTTTCCCTCCTCTCTATGCTTTAAGGCCAGGTAGTGTTTGACATCCCAACTCTCAGTTCTAGGGCTGTGGGGCTCCCCATCATTCTCTTCCATGGACAGGCGCAATATTTGCCCTGAAAATGAAAACAGATAATAATGAAATAAAGCTAAAGCACATAGGACATGGGAGCGGGGGAGGAAGGGGAATTAGGAAGGTATGTATGAGTCTGTGCCTATACATATGATAGGTGAGAAGAATAGAAATGAAGATATTGGCACCCAACACAAACCGGCAAAATTTTGAGTGACTTGGCCCATCTTTGCTGCTGTCTCTTTTGAATTTTAATTCTGATTGTAAAAAACAAACAAACAAGGGCTGCGACTTCGTCTGCATGCCTGCTAAAGAAGCTTTTCCCCAACATGGTGCCCGTTTCATGTGCTGAACTTTGATTCCTGTCATTCCCAACCCAGCCTCTGGAGGGCCTCACATATCCGGAGCACCACTGGCTGGAGAAATCTATGTATGAAATATACTACCTTGAGCTCTGAGACTGAAATTTACAGCATGCCTAAAAATAACAGTCTTACAATTTGCTCACATCTGCTAATTCTTGGTCACTTTCCTTTCCTTTGTTGTTTCCCTTACTGGGTTTGAGTTTTGTGGGTTTCTGTTAAACACAAATAAACTCTTATACTTAATTTAAAAGTAAGAAGAAAGGTCTGGCAAGGGTCTAACATGATATGCTATGGCTTGTGATTAACCTGAAATAGTTAATTGTTATTTTATCTATACCATAGAAGATAAGAGAAGAAATGAGTGAAGAGATAGCCTGATACATTTTTTGGGGGTATGATTTGTCTTTCAGAAATTGGAGAGGGGAAAAATTCCGCTGTAACCTGTGAGTGTGTATGTACATGTGTGCCCATGTCCCAGAGTTATATAAAATGGGGGTACAGTTAAGTGAACTGCCTGATACTAACACATTGCCTATTTGTGTGGATCTAAGCCCTTGACAGAGATTTGCAGTGACAGTATAAATAGCATCACTTCAATAATAGAAAAGCACTGCTTAAAAAGAGGATTTAAAAATCTGCTGGTTTGCATGATATTTGCATATACTGCTCTATATGAGTGTTTCTCAAGTTCAGCAACTTTAAGATGTACAGAGTTCCACTCCCAGAATTCCCCAGCCTGTTCCACACATTTTATATTTGCTGAGGTTAGAAACACTGCTCTCTATATAAATACACACATGGAAATCACTGCAGGTAGTCCTTGACTTATGACCACAATTGATCCCAAAATTTCTGTTGTAAGTGAGATGTTTGTTAAGTGACACCCCCCCCCCCATTTTACAACCTTTCTTGCAACAGTTGTTAAATAAATCACTACAGTTGTTAAGTTAGTAACATGGTTGTTAAGAGACTCTAACTTCCCCATTGACTTTGATTGTCAGAAGGTTGCAAAAAGTGATCACATGACTCCAGGACACGGCAACTGTCATAATTATGAACCAGTTGCTAAGCATCTGAATTTTGATCACATAATAATGGGGATGGTTGCAATGGTTGTAAGTGTGAAAAACAGTCATAAGTCACATTTTTCAGTACCATTGTAACTTCGAACGGTCACTAAAGGAACTGTTGTAAGTCGAGGACTACTTGTACTGTGAGGTTTCGCAAACTTTGTGGTATCTTGATCCTAGGTAAAAAAGGAGACAGGATTTCAAACCCATTGTTGTGGCTGCCATCTTGACTATTTTTTTACCACTTCCCTGTAGACACCCCAGCACAATCCCTTACAGTGATAAATGGATATGTGTAATACCCTTTCTGCCTGAATAAAACCAATGAGCTTGTCTTCCATAGTAATGAATATGCCAGTTATCAATTCAGCACTGAACAGGTCCTGATTTACTGTAAGAGAAAAAGAGTTTGTCAAGTATCCTGTGTATCCATCCTACATCTTAACTATTGATGAGCAAAGTTATTGTCTTGTCCTTCTTACGTGGACACCATTTTTGGATCAGTAAGTTTTTCCAATGAAAAGTTTTGGAAGTTTCTGAGTTTTCTCTAGTCCAGGGGTGTCAAACTCAATTTCATTGAGGGCCACATTAGGGTTGTATTTGACTTTGGGGGGGGTCAGGGTGGGCGTGGCCAGGATAGGTGTGGCCAGCGGGACATCATGCATGTTGGGGGTGCCTGTGGTGGCCTAAGTGCTCTGCCAGTGAAAACGGGCTCCTGGGCTCCATTTTCAGCTGCGACAGCTTCCTGCAAGCCTCTGCCAGTAAAAAAGAAACTTGGGAGGGCCACCCACGGCCGTCGCAAGCTCCATTTTTGGCTGCGACTGCCTCCTGCAACCCTCTGCCAGCAAAGACAGAGCTGACAGAGGCAGCGTGGGTTGATCCTTTGCTGTTTCCAGGGTGGCTCTGTGGACCAGATCTAAGCATCCCGTGGATCCAGCCCCTGGGCCTTGAGTTTGACACCCCTGCTCTAGTCCTGACAACAGCAGACCCTGCTTGACTTCCAAGCTCAAACAAGGTTGTCCTCATGCTATTCCCTGTTAATATTCCAACAGAACTAATGCAACTAATTCATTGTTTCTGAGACTTGACAACTTTGTCTTGGCTAGGGAATTCTGGGAATTGGAGTCCACCTGTCTGAAAGTTGCCAAGTCTGAGAAATAGAAAATGCTTTCAGTGGATTGTTCTCCAAAAGCTCTCCAAATACAATTTAACCTTTATTTGTGATATATTTGGCACATAAAAAGGTTTGACATAAAAAGGGTCTGTCATAAGTTGTCAGTCCAACATAGCCCAAAATATATTACAGCTCAGTGAAATACAGCATATCATTTCTTTAAAAAAATAATAAACTCATTAAGTGGACATTTATGCTACAGATTCAATGGAATGTACAAAAATGGTTAGTCTAGGAAAAAAACCCTTGGAGTCCTTCACCTGAACAAGCAGGTAATTCTGAAATTAAAAATTATAAAACGAGAATGGCGTGCAGTAGAGTGATTACACAAAGGTTTTTCCTCTTTCCTATACTACTAGAAGGTCTCTCATTCTGGAGAACTATTTTTATAGTCATAAATAGGTTGACAGAGATAACACTAGGCTATTAGTGGTACAAAAGATGATCACTTCCAATTTAAATGGCTTTAATGAGGATAAAAAATAACCTACTCACAGAAGCAACATTTTAATAGCCTTCGGACATTGCAGCTGAATGGAAATTCCATGTCCAATACAGTAGCAGCTTATTTTTAATTAGCATTGCTAGGGGGCAACAGGGTCAATGATCTAGAAAATGGCCTTTGAGGGAAAAAGTCTACAGGATTATATAAGAATAATAATTAATCTTGTAATTAGGCAGTATACATGTAAAATTAAAAAAAAATAATTGATTCAGTCTACAGGTAGTCCTCGATTTACAACAGTTCATTTAGTGACCTTTCAAAGTTACAATGAAAAAAATGATTTATTACTGTTTTTCACAGTTGTAGCATCCCAACAATCCTGTGATCAAAATTCAGATGGTTTATACTTATGGCCGTGGCTGTGTCCCAAGGTCATGTGATTGCCCTTTGCAACCTTCTGACAAGCAAAGTCAATGGGGAAGCCAGATTCTCTTAACAACTAGGTTACTAACTTACCAACTGCAGTGATTCACTTAACTATTAGGGCAAGAAAGGATGTAAAATGGGGCAAAACTCACTTAACAACTGTATCTTGCACTAAGTAGAAGGTTTTACTAATGATTTATGAGATACCTTCAGTAAAGTTCTGTGACCCCTAAAATTACTCCAAGATTTAATGTTATATGTGGTCTGCTCTGCTAAAAAAAGGAATATGATTCTGTCCCATTTTACTTCACACAGGGGAACATCCGAAGGCTGGCTGAAACATGAAACAGAATGAGATGCCAGTGAGTTGAAAAGCTGATAGCATTGTATTAGACTACAGCTAGTCCTTGACTTAACAACCATTTGTTTAGTGATCATTGAAAGTTACAGCAGCACTGAAAAAAGTGATTTATGGGCAGTTTTCACACTTGTTACCATTGCAATATCTCTATGGTCATGTGATCAAAATTTGGATGCATGGCAACCAGTATGTATTTGCATCAGTTGTAGTGTCCTGGGATCATGTGATCACCATTTGTAACCTTCCCAGCCAGCTTCCAACAAGCAAAGTCAATGTGGAGGGCCAGATTTGCTTAACGACTACATGATTCCCTTATCAACTGCAGTGATTCACTTAGCAACGGTGGCAAAAACGGTTGTAAAATAAGCAGAAAGCACTTTACAACTGCCTCACTTAGCAACAGAATTGTAGACTGAATTGTGGTCGTAAGTCGAGGACTACCTGTAGAAAGAGGTGATTACATTTGTAATGCTTTCAAATGTTAAAAACCTTTTGCAGAAAGAAAACCAACAAAGAAATGAAAAACAGTGTTCATGCAGGACGATCTAGCCTAGCCTGTTGTTGCTTTTTGTTTCTCCTCAAATGACTTCCCTCCCGACAATGCAATTCTTATGGCCCATTTTTGCTGTTAATTCTACCGCCACAAAAGCCTAAATGAAATCAAGAACCTGAGTTGGAGGAGGAGGAGGAGGAGGAGGAAACGTCAGAGTTGATGTCAAATGTTCTTTTGGAGGGGATTACAAAGTGCAAGTAGACCAAACTGAAAGTGTGAGTCAAGGGGATGGAGAGCAATGGGGAAAGCCTACTCACCAATTCCCTGCTTTCCAGGCCTCCTACTCATGCTTCCAAGGAGCTGCGTTGGCATTGTAGTCATGCAGGTACCAGGAGGTGGCAGAGGAGTCAAATGCTGTCGGTGGCAGGCGGTGGGCGCCTGTGGGGCCCAGATTTGGTGGGCAGTGGAATAAAGGGAGGGGTAGGGATAGGAGCAATGGATGGAGATGAAAAGGGGGTCAGGGGTGGGAAAAACAGACAGAGGTGGTGTGAGGAGGAGGAGGCACTGAAAATGAGCATGTGATGAAGTCAAGGGAGGCATGGCTGTAGAAAACCACCTGCCCGCTTACCTGCTCTGCTCCCAGCCTGTTGCTTGACTCACCTGTTCTATTATATTACACCAATCCTTTTTAACCTGACAGCCCTCCAGAATGGTAATTTTCAAGGTCTCTAACAAAACTCTTGGCTGGAAAATTTGGGAATTGCTGTCCCAGAAAATCTGGAAAGTGCCAGGTTGGAGAAAGCTGTTATTATTTTCCCCATTAATTTTAATTTTTAATCTTTCCTTCCCTCCTGTTTAAATGGAATGATGCCATGGTTAGGAATGCTAGCTTTGATTCAGAGGGATCTGAATTCAAATCCATTCTTGGCCGTAAAAAGGCTACTGGGGCAATATTTGGGTATCATAAGGATAACATCATTAAGAGGTTCATGATTTTTCTCTGCTGTCCATGGAAGAAATAAATCTATAATAATATTTAAAAGAAAAATATTATTTTTCTGTCCAGAAATCCAGTTTCTCTATCTTCTGGACTCCCACGGGTTCCAATATCAAATCATCATTAGTATATTCTTTCTTTTAGAGAATATCAAACAGGAACGGTTTGTAGGAAGATTCATGAAAGTTTGAATTTAAATTAGGCTAAGCATTCCTTTTAAATATAATAGAGTATTGTGATTTTAATAGGAACACAACTGCTTGAGGGTGCTTGAATTTCTTAATTTTGTCCAATAAATCTCTTCCTTTAAAATTTTTAATGAAGTCTAAAACAATCTTAGCATCTTTTATTTATTGTGGTTTACAATTTATCAGATAGGTTATCAGATCATGCCACACTAATCTCCGAGGCAGCAGTTCACCCTCGCTTGGGTCTAAATTTTCATTTACCTGAACGAACTGGAGAACTTTCTATTAATGGCTTGCTAGGGAATTCTGGGAATTGAAGGCCACACATCTTAACATCACTGAAATTGAGAAATGCTGTCCTAGAGTAATGGAGCCTATCTTGACTTAGCTGCTACTGTTCAACCAAAACTATTCTTTATGATGCTGATAAAAAGAAAAATTATAAAAATAATGTGGGCAGTTTTTTAATGCTATCTTAGCCACTTTCAAGGATGGGTAGACTATAGCTTTGATAGGCCAAAACGGGGGGGTATCTCTGCCTTCCCTCCCAGCATTTTATAAAGCTGTTAAAAGAAAAACTACCCCACTATGTTTTTAACCATGCTTATTAATGTTTAATGTAGCTATCTGGGGGAGAGGAGGAGGGATCTCTCTTTTAATATTTATTTTATGTTTTTTCTCTGTGGCACTCTGGACAGAATCCGTAGCTTCGGGTGGGTTACAAATACCGTGAAATAGATAATTTTTTTTAAAAGCAAGCAAAGAAATAAATATATAAATACAGACTGTGTCCTTGACTTTTGGTGGTTTCCTCTAAAATGTCAATCTGGCTGGTAAAAAATTAAACCTTTAAACATTTTTAAAGAAATAAATAGCCTCCTATCCCCTAATATAAGATTTAACCTATCAGCCCCTTGCCTTAAGCTATATCTAAATTTTGTCTGCATATTCTTGGTGCTAAGCAATATGGAATTTTCTTTTGCGCATATGTGGATTAATCACCATATGCAAATCAACCAAGATCTACTTCTCTTTTTTTTTTGGGATTAAGATCCACAGAGTAATTAATTTCTAAATTGGGCTACAACTGAAGTCAGTCTGAATTCCCCTATTTTTGAAATCATGTTTGTTAATCATAAAAATGTAGTACAAGCAGTTTCTGAAGTGCTATTTAAAGTGCGCTCTCTTATGCTCAGATACCTTTTCTTATTGTCTTGTCACCTTTTTCAGGAACAACTCCTTGAACTGAAATAAGATTTTATAGTTATCTTTTGTCAAACGACAGTTAATCTTATTTCCAATGTGTT